CATTGACAAGATATCTGCGATCTACGCGATCAAATGCTTTTTCTTGATCAGGCCAATTTTTTTTTTTTAAACTTTGCAAATATCTAAAACATCCCGTATCAAAAATAAGTTATCTGATATTGTCCTTTCTGGAACACAATATGTTTGATCCCGGTGTACTATTAAATGGAGGTACTTTTTTAGCCTATTAGCAAGGCATTTAGATAGAATTTTGTAATCAGTAGTCAATAGAGCAACTGGTCTCCAGTTTTTCAAAAGAGACAAATCCCCCTTTTTATGCAACAAAGACAGAACAGCTCGTTTACAAGACACAGGCAACATACCATCTTTGTTACATTCACAAAAGACCTCACAAAGATCTTTTCCGATACAGTGCCAAATTTTTTTTATAAAACTCAGGTTGCAAACCATCAGTGCCTGGAGATTTTCCTGATTTAAGTTGACCCAAGGCAGCAGTTAGTTCTTGGTAGGATATATCAATATCCAAAGCAGTCTTTGAGTCCAAGTCTATTTGAGGTAAATCATGAAAAAGTTGTGCAGAACAATTTTCATCACAATTCTCAGCAGTGTAAAGATTTGAATAAAAATCCACTGCATGACGATGCATTTCTCTGATATCATGTGTCAACTTCCCATCAGGAAGGCGTAAGCAGACCATCTGTTTATGCTTTGCCACTTTACATTCCAAATTAAAAAAATATGCACTTGGAGCATCCATATCTGCAACAGAAATAAAACGGGACCTTACCAAGGCCCCTTTTACTCTCTCATTTAAAAAATCCCAACTCCATTTTTTTCTCTCTGTAGCTATCAGAAAATATCACTGTTGTTGTTTCCACTTCATTACTTATTTGAGTATTTTCGAGAGCAGATACACTAACTTCCGAAACTCTTACATCAGGAGGACCCTCAAACTCATCCCGAACCTCTTGGGTAGGCACGATAACAGGAACAACATCAGTCCCTTCTCTCGAAACACTGCCTTCTATTCCACATTCTTTATGCGGACAAACATGCCATTTATGCCCGATATCACCACATTCAAAACACTTCATACTACCGGTTGTAGCGTAAACCATAAATGTCTTCCCTTCGTATTTAACACGAAAAGATATATCCAGCGTTCGCTCCGGGGAATCCAAAATCATTTTTACTTGTCTCCTAAAAGACATCACGTGTTTTAGAGCTGGGTATTTACATCCCAGAGAGATCGTTTTAAATGGACTAAGAATCTTTCCGAAACGAACTAACTCACGCTCCAATGCTTCATTGGTTATGAATGGCGGCACATTTGAAATTGTAATTTTAGAAGAAACCATGTAAAGTGGAGTAACTTGGACTAAATCGTCATTTACAATAAGGCCACTTTCAATTATTTGATTCACAAGATGCTGCGCTTTCAAAAACACCACAACAGCCTTGTTCATTCGAGAAGCAGAGGAAATATTTTCGTGGCATACCACCTCTCATATCGCAACAAGCACATCCTCCACCATTATCCCATAAACAGGTACACACCTGATGAGTCCATTGCGTAAGGACAATGCCTCAATCTGAGACGCCATCCCTCCGCGTAAAAACTCACTTTGACAACAACAATTAAAAAAGACTTACCAAAACATGCAGAATCAAGATGAAAAAGCATAAAGAAAAAAAGGTTAGGTGAAATTCCACCACTCAGACTTCGCCCCACCACCACTCTCGCACGTGCAAACTCCCAGAATGCCCCAAGAGAGAGAGAGAGAGAGAGAGAGAGAGAGAGAGAGAAAGAGAGAGAGCATAGTTGGGGTCCATAATATGCTTTGGTCTCTTAAAATGGTTTATTCTTTTACTTATTTTGATATTGTTTGTTCATCATTAGAATCTTCTTTTTCTCACATCCCGTAGAGAGAGAGGGGAGAGACCATAACACACCCTGTGATGGAATGTGGCTGGATGCCCGCATGTGGTCAATACTGCCAGATGTGAGAGTTAAATATGCACCTCAGGACATAATTTATGACCTGTCACTGTTCGAAATTGATCAGTCTTCATATTGATCCCCGGAGGATATGCAAGATCGCTGGGTCAATGCCGGAAGTTTAATTATGCTAAAAACATATGACATACTGACATCTGGAGATTATTAATAGGTCAAAGGTGAACGGGACGCTGGGGTCCTGAAGTGAGACTAAATACAGACTTAGGGTGTACTCATACTAGGAATGGTTGCCTTTTAAGGAGCCAGAGTGCGATTATACCCCCTCCCCACTCCCCCGCTGGCCTGCACTTAACAAGACATTTTCAACCACAGAAACAGAACGAATGCTGACTGGATGTTTTGGCACTATTCTCTGAAATCCCTCCAGACTATTGTCTGCTCTGCAACTTTCATAGCCTACCAAAACATGTTATAGTTGCTTGTATTCTGACTTGACTATTTTACTTTCATGAAGACAGTCTTTCACACAACTGTACTCTAGTAAAAAAGTAAAAATACTTCCCTACATCCTGGATACAATGCAAAAACTACATTCAAGGCAAGTAAATGATTTTGTGGTTCGACGCTTCATATTTGACTTCATGCACTTAGGACAGATGTGGTGTGATTACAAACCATACAATATTCATGTAGAAATGCATCTGGAAATGTAACTCACCATGCTCAGAACCATTTGGCCCAAAGATGAATACGTACTACACCACATGTTGACTGTTGTCTGTAAATTTATATTTAAATCAAGCAAAATTCTCAGGCTTGTGACTCTAACACAAAGTCAGTTAATAACAATCTACAACAATAGTATACTGCAGCAGCTAATAAGTGTTAGCGTATGAACTTAAATCTAGAGAGTCTAGAGCCAGTCACCAACATTGTTTAATACTTTTTATTTATTAATCTATTTCAAAGTACAGTAAATTGAAAAAGCAGTGCACTTACTGAGAAATATTACAGTAATGTCATGATAGGTCAGATAAGTCTTCACCATGGCCTGGATGAGTAACCTAAACTTCATATTTCAAATATGAGCACTCACTGGGCTATATTTATGATTTGTCCATATATGAACATGCTGTTTATAACTTTGAGGGTCATTATATGAGCATGAAATAAGATTCGTATGTGCAGTGATCACTGAGGTTTAATTGCCCAATAAAAGCCTGCCATAGATATTTTTTTAATTTGTAATGACTGTTACAGTCCATCTCTGGTAATTAATCGGGGTTTTTAATGTCCTGCTTGACAAACTTCTCAAATTGGTCAAGAGGAAAATCTTTGCTCACAATCCTGTGATTGAACTAGATATTTCATACAGTAAGCTCTTTGGGATTTTGTAAACATTTTAAATATCTGTCCAAAAATTGACATTATATGCAAACACTGTTACTTGACTGTATTTGCAATAGAAAAGGAAATAACATGGATGCTAAATGTCCAAAAACAAATGTTGGAACTTGCTGAACACAAGAATGTAAGGGCTTCATAACAACCATTATTTTGCATTATTGTATAAAAAGTTACCTTCTTCTATATGCACATATATGAATAAATAACTGAAATGTTAAGTTTAATCTAATAACAATGCAAAAAAAAAAACTTTATAGTTTATAGCTTCAAGTTAATATGGAGTGCTACCTATTTTAGAAATCCTGTTAACATTTCACGGTTTAATTTCAGATCGTGAGAACCAGTCTGTCCTGATTACGTGAGTAAATATTCTTCTGCTGACACAACCTGAAGCTTTTCAATTATAATTGTAAATCAGTACTAGATGTATGACTAAATGATGATCTCATATAAATCTCCAGTGGAGAATCTGGTGCAGGAAAGACTGTGAACACAAAACGTGTCATTCAGTACTTTGCAACTGT